CCTCTAAACAGAGTATTACTACCCTGCTGGTCCAGAGGGAGCCATCTGACTAAGAGCACCTGGAGTTATTGGCAGCAGATTATGTCCTGTGTTATTGTTGAGGGCTTTGGTGGGAGTAATGAAACACTGAGCTAAATCACTGGTGAGTTTGGCTCTCTTACATTCTACAAGGAGTTAAGTAAATCACTATAAAGCAAACATTTTATTTTATAGTCTTCTTTGCAGCGCCATTGGTTGTTTGTAACATTACTCTTTGGGCTTTAGATAGAGAAGTGTAATGAGCTGTCGCTCTACATTTCTTTCTATCTCAGCTCTCTCTGCAATGCAACATCAACTTTCAAAGTGGTATTCACAAAATCAATGGTCAAACAATCTGGGACAATTGGTTGTGTATTGATGGAATTAAAGCTTATGGATGATGCATTTTTTTTCTTTGTATCTCGGCCCATTCTTTACGCTTGATTAGCTCACAGATCGCTGTCCCACTAACGCTCTGAATCAACAGCGCGACACACATTTGATGATACAAATGATACTGCTGTTTTTGTGCTATAATTCTCTACTTCAATAGTTCAATTTATTATAATAATTAAGAATGTAATCATCTTATAATCTTCGCTCTTTTTAAATGTGTTCACATGTGAAATTATTTTCCGTGGATTAGATTTCAGTTGAAAATGATTGACACCATCTTAATAGCAAACACATGCACTCAGCCAGACATTTTCAAAAGGACCATTATAAAAATGGGGGTTGGCTGTTCATTCTGAATAGCCTGAATCGTTACCAGGCCTCTCTCGTACATTTGACAACTTACATAATGCATTTCCACTAAAATAGCTTAAGTGTTAAAGCTTCTTTTATGGGCAAACATTGATTCATGAATGCTTTGAGGCGAAAGCTAACATGAACACAAAGCTTTCAATAACACCCATTTTATACAGACTGTCAATGTATGAAGCGATTGCATTAGACAAGGTGGCATGCTGATTGCTTTATGAAATCCAGGCTAATTGTTTTGTGGTGTAGTCCTTGGGGCACCCTGCATTAAGACCGGCTGAACCAAGTCAAATAAATATGGCTCTTTGCCCCCCCCCCCCCCCAACCCCCCCAGCACACACACACACCGCACAGAGAGACCTTCAGCCTTGTGTGGCATTGAAAGTCGCTCTCCAGTGGCCACTTTAGTGATCAATGAAAGAGAATTTATATAGTGGTGGCGGATATTGGCAATATTACCATGACATAAGTCACATCAAATGGCACTCTGTGTTCTGTATTAAATATAATAGTTTCACTTGCGTAAAAAGGTTTTTTTTCATTGAATATAATACATCCGTATGCTTTTTGAATTGATAAGACCTGATTCAAGTAATTAAATTCATCTTCTCACTTTCAGTATAGGCCTTGAAAAACTTGCGTATCTACAGTTAAACTGTTTCAACGCCATTTAAACTGCTAAGAAAGATGAAGCCTGAATGTCCCAGATGAATGTAAAGCTGTGTTGAATGTGCATCGCCTGTTCCTTAATCCAATTGGCCTCTTCTTTCATCTCTCCTCACATCAACGCATATATTCATTCCATTTTACTCTTTATTTTTGTATAACCTCTGTATAATCGCAGGATCAAAGGACTTTCTTTTTAGTCAAAGTTTGATCAAGACATTTTCTCATTTCCCCCTGTATATTATATTAATCTGGAAATCCATGTAATGATCATTTACATTGCATAAGTACATTTCTTTAAGAAAAGAAAAGCAAGACATGTACACAATTCAAGTAATAAAAAAGAATTGAAGACTGACTCCCTGGGCTTTTCTCCTGTCAGCTATTTAATTTAGTTAAAGAAATTACACAAATCCTTTGGGGGAAGATGTGCATGTGTAGTTATTTTTTATCGATTGTTTCGCCCGCGATAAACGTGTTAACGTTACGGATATTTGCAAGGGGATGAAGCTTTCTAAGTTATTGTGAAATGAAGGCATCAAGGAATCGTTATTGAGTAACTCTCCCACACTTTCTATCCGATAGAATACATTATTCACAACAAACGTCTTAACTACAGTCATGAGCAATACACTTTAGAGTCCATTGGTAATGTTATAAAGTCTCATCCCTTCATTATAGCTGGATATCTTCATTGAGTTAATTAGCTTTGCTATGATGATAAATAGGTAATTTACTGGCGCAAAAGTTTTCCTGTAGCACTGCTGCATTTATTTCATGTTATCAAAGTGTGGCAAATATCCTTTGAGGTGGTTTAAAAGTGGCTGTTCAACGACATAGAAAGACTGAAAGGCATAACTTAAGTGTGATCACATCCACGGTGAGAACTAACTGCTCAGACTTTACCTGATCAAATCCGGGAAAAAACGAATATTGCCTTCCAATATTTACCCTATAAAAATAAATGTGAATTTATACAGCAGATTATGATGAAATTGTTCTTTATCTGTCACTTTATATCAACTCTAACCCAGCCACAAAGTCTTTGCTGTATGTTCAGATTGATCTTAATGCCAGATACTGAGTGCACAGGGTGGGGCTAGCGCACAACGGGTTCCATAATGGGTGAAATAATTGGTTAAAAGAGACTGGCTTGTCAAAATATCCCCGCGTTGCGAGGTTGATAAGCGAGAGGATGTGGACCTTCATCGTGAAGCAGGGCCAGCAGCCAGAGGTAGAAACCAGCTCGAAAAGCAGGCTCCCCCCTGGGCTCTCACATCAGCCATCAAATGCTGGAGGTTTGTTAGGTTCTGCCACTCACCAATTATTTGGATTTTATGTAAAGATGAAATGATTTAAGTTGGCGGAAGGGAGGTTAAAATGTAATGCTTGAATATACTTGACAGGCAATGAGATCTTTCTGGCAAGGCTTTTCTATAGCCCGCTTTGCATGAAGCTTTACGAAAAGGACTAGGAAACCACTGCATGCAACGTTTAACAAGAGAACAACGTTTCATTCTCTTCATGAATTAGAAGACACAACTTTTCACTGCTTTATTTTTTGAAAAGCAGGAAATATTCTATTTGAGAAATCGATGGAGATCAGTGGAAATGTGATTACATTTTTTGTATTCATTACCAAAATGGTGTGAATCAATGAGGTTTTGTGGCCTTCAAACACATTTCCACATACAGTAGATAGCAGGACTTCATTTACAAAATCCACTTTATTGTAGAGCTGTTGCATGAAAGAAACTTTAACAAAAATGTATTATTGACTTGTGAGGGGTTTTGTGTCATATATTTTAAAAGATCATTATTTGTGAATAACCTTTTTGAAAAAAATGATCATATTAGTGTTTAATAATAAAATAACCAATTGTATTATGCCCCTGTAAATGTTTTACCAGTAGGGGTTTAAGACGTTTATCTGTAGTTAATAAAGCCATTTTTTAGTTCTTATCTATTCTTTTCAAGAATGGATTAAAAAAGCTTTATCCACCTCATGTGTAGTTCCTCTATGTCCCTACACTTGTTTAACACTTCCTGTCTATTTAGCTAAAGTCCTTTTTTTAAATATTAATGAAATAATTTAGTTTCTAGAGCTCCTGAAAACTTCCAAATACTCCTTATTTCTATGTAACTGGAAATATGACTAAATAGGCGACCATCAATTCAAAGTTACAGTGTGTAGGATTAAGAGCGATACAAGCTGAGATTTAATATAATAATCATAACTATGTTTTCATTTCTTAATAATCACCAGAATTGTTTTCCATTTATATAAACCAGTTAAACAAGCAAATAATACATTTAAGTAAAGAGCTGATTAAGAATGAACACATTTTTTTCATGTTGTTTAAGCACTTCAAAACAAAAATCTATGTTTTCATCATACAAATAAATGCCCTTCACGGCCTATTCATGCTCAGAAATCAATTAGGACTGAAGATGTAATTCCACTGTATTGACATCCTCTAAGAAAAGAAACATGGGTCCTTGATTGTACTGTAATAGCAAATAGTTGTATCACATTTGTTTTCTTCAGCAACCTCACCTTCACCATCTTATAACAAAAGACATTCCTCCTCTGAGCCAACGTCTTTTCAACACTGAAATTAGAAGACATTGTCAGAAAATCTATGTCTTTGCCATTTTGATTGGATATATGTCCATGTCTATTATTACGTTTGGCACACTCTTGCTTTAGTACGATCTAAGTGTGTATCACATTAAATTCTTCCAGCGATTAGTTTCTGTCCTTTTAAATGAATACTCCCAGAAAGTTAAATTAAGTAATTTTCAGTCAGGTGGTATTTCTCTTCTGAACAGTCAGTTTGGTGAAAGGCATTCCGAGAGACATTTACATTTTTCTGACAGTTTTCTCTGCAAGATTTACTCGGAGAGCTTTTGTGTCAACACTGAGGCATCATGCCATCTCGATATCATCGAGGTCAAAGGGTGAGGGTCAAAGAGCCTCTCTGAACTTTTACCAGGATCCACACTCAGTGCTAAGAGAGTCTGTGAGATGGTGATCGGCACGATATCCAATCGGCGGGGTCCTTTGTTTTCCCCGCAGCCATCAGCAAGCTTATTATCATGTCCCTGTCTGCTCCACTCCACTCTGCCCTCATAGCAAACAGGTCTAATTGTGTCTCGTAGCTGCAGGCTCACAGCGGAGGGGGGGGAGTGGGTTTAGATGAGTGATACTCGGTGATGTAAATGGCTGAATAATATGGCCCCAGCGTTTGTGGTGGAGCTCTATCTCTCAGCGGTAATCTAGGCCATCGGGGACCCGCCAGTATGCATCATCCCCCATCAATGAGCCTCTCCGCTGGCTGGTAATTTATTCAGCGCTGCAGCGGTTATTGATAAAGCACTTAAGTACAAATTCCCCTCCTTTCCCAACTGCCCTCCTCCGCGTTGTAATATCACAGCGTGGTCTGTGTGTTGTGTGTTTATCTACTTATATTGTCTGTGTTGATCTAAGGTGCATTCTTTGTTTGTTTCTTTCTCTTTCTGCACGGATCTCTCTCTGCCTGTTGCTCTCCCAGGAGCTTGTGACGGTTCGGTCCAGTCTGACACCAGCAGCAGTCCTTCTGAGCAGAGTCATCTGGGCCATTCCCACCCAGCGTTCTCCATGGGTCCACAGGTGAGTGAGGGGATCTCCCAAACACAGAACCACACATTTAGTAGGTTACTTAAAGCCAAAACTCCCTTCATAACTCAAGTTTATATGAGTTGTGTCACCTCTACTATACATGTTAAGGAGGTATTCTTTTTCCAAATAATCCTGACATAATAAGATGTAGGACAAACAAATCTAAAAAAACTGAAACCAGGATTTTCAAGTAGCAGTTTCAGGTGTTTTTATACAAATCCTGACATATTATCACAGATATAACACATGTTGGAGAAGCTACTCAGATGCAATAATAGCCAATTTTATTATCTCCAGATTTGCTTTTGTTATATGTCTGTTTAAAGTGCCTGGAATCTGGACTTTAAGTCTCAAAATAACATGTTTTTATTACCTTAAAGGGGACCTATCATGCAAAATGAACTTTTGTACATCTTTTATACATGAATATGTGTCCCCGGTGTTCCAGGGAACTCACCAAGTGTCAGAAAACACAACCCTCTCTATTTTCCTCCATACCCAAATCTCTAAAAAAGGGGCTGCAACGGATCTGATAAAAACTGATCCAGATTTGAACACTGTCCTGACGTCAGGACAGTGGCGCTACGGCTATTGGGCCAACTCCACCAATCAGGAGGAGACAGCCACGGCCATTGCCGTTCGAAAGCGCTGGAGACGCTGTAGTACATATGCCAGGCCTGTAGATGGTGCTGTTCTCACTGAATCTGCCCTTGCAAAAACAGAGCTAAAACATGTCAAATTGAGCAAAATGAGGCATGGCTAAAATGCATGATCTGTTTGGTATTTTGAAGGAAAAAAAAGTATAAATATGCCTTATATAGGTATGGTCCTACACTATATTATTCAAATATAGCATGATAGGTCCACTTTAAATTACATCCTATTCTACCTGACCGATGACCTTCTAAAAATACTGTGAACAATGTAACGGACTGAAGCAGAGAGCTCCTCATCAGGTTTAACCACCTGCTCCTCACCTAGAGCGCTCAAGAGGGAATGGGAAACAAACATGAAGGTACAATACTGACATCAGTGAACATTTCAACCACATGTTTTATGCCAAACAAACAATTAAACAATCCCAAATAAGGTTATCATAAAGGCCCCCTGAACAAATAAGGATGAATACATAGAAATATGGTCACATTGTAACGTTATCGTCCCATCCCTAATGGCAGCCGTGATGTGACTGATTTGATAGTTTCAGTTATGAAATCCTATTTCATTGGTGAGTGCAACACTCTGAAAGACCCTCACAGACACACTGATAGACTGAGGGTCATTTTCAGTTAGAATGTGAAATAGTAAAGTATTTTGTCGTCTCACATCAAATGTAATTGAGTGGTGGCACTAATGAGCCAACAATACAGGCCTTGTCATAACAAGCAGGGCAGCAAAGAGCCCGAGCCTGCAGCCCTGTTAATAGCTCAATCAGGCATTGTCCTATCTGATTGGATTTATTGGCCTGGTGGCTCTGCGATGTTTAATGAACATTTATCTCATTAGTGTTGCTCAATGTCACCGCTCAACACACACTCAGAGCGTCAGGTTTCCTTTACCGTCTTTAATAAGGCCATTCTCCCTGCACTCAGTGTAACTTACTGACAGTCAATCCTCATCGGGATAAACAAAAGTGGAAACATGAGAGGAGGAGAGTCATTCAGTTTTGTCGGGCAGGTTTACAGGGTGAGAAATCCCCAGTGCAAGAGTCAATCTGCTGCGAGCGGAGATGAAGAACGAGCTTAATTAAAAGCACTTTTCTGATTACAGACACCCTCGCTGGTGAGAGTCGCAGTTTGTGTAATAGATAAGAAATAAACACTAAAGGAAAGCATCTGCAGCAGGCAGTTACAGTCTGAGCCGCAGCAGGAGCCCTCAACAGTCACCATCTAATATATTAATGCTGTCAGTACAGTCCACTTTTCAGAAACAAAGGCGCTCCGCACGCCATACCCAATTCTCTTGTTCCAAGATCAATATGTTTTGATAGATTCTCGCTCCAGAGCCGGATATTGTTCGAACAACCATTATCCGATGGTAGTTTACCCAACATGAATCCACCTTCCTTCTGTTCCCCACTTGCAGTTAGGATGACAAAAGTCTGCTATCTGGGTGATTATGGGCAATTTCTCAGTGCCAAAGCTGCCAAGCAGATAGAATGGCCTATTCTCCCCTGATGGGCAGAGAGGCTGGGTACCGCATCCTGTCCTGAGTGGGGCTGCTTCCCCATCCAGAGCCCAACACACACCCTGTCTGTGGGCCCCTAGGAGACCACTTCTCAACACTCAGCTGTCAGGCCTGCCAAGCACTGTACAACAGCACCTATGGAGAGGGGGAGTGAGATTATCAGGCGAAAAGACAGAAAGTGAGCTGCTTGTAAATCTAGATGAAGGATGCTGGGGATTCTCATAGAAAAGGCGTTTGTTGTGGCTGCAGAACTGAGCTAATTGTGTTCACGCTAAATGTATTATAATATCTCATTTTGATGTTTACTTACACAGTGTTCTCATGTTGGATGAAGATCACAATCAGTGTTAAGCCGGCACAGCAAACAGCCTAAAGACCAAGATTCTTTGCAAGAAAAAAAGGCTTCTCTTGGCAGCTGCCTGTGTTCCTAACAGCTGCCTGTTTCTCCAAAGCTGCCTGTAATGATAAATAAATCAGGGGCTACATCTGATAATTGCAGAATTGTCTTTTAATGTTATTCCCTTCTATGTGAGGCTGTCTTTGCTGTCAAGCCTGGCAGTCTCATTTTGTTTGACTCAGAGATGAAATGTTCAAAGAGCGTCTTTGATTATATGTTGCTTCGGTTCGAGATTAAATTTAGTTTAAAACGCAAGATTAAACATATGTCACTTGCAGCTAACAAACGTCCCGCCTTTGTTATTGTCCTTTGAGGATTCTTTGAGCCTTCAAATTATTAATTCATTTTTCAAGTTAATGGCAAATGTCATTTTGGATGCTCTCAGATGCGTCAGATATTGTCATTTGTTATGCACGGTTGTTGTGTATCAAAGCAAATGTTGAGAAAAGAAGAATCCTATATAGTATGTATGATTACTCCTGCCAACAACAATCACCTTACAATGCTCTTTTATTCTTTTAACAGCTAAGAGCACAAACAGGTATTCATTTGTTTTAGAAATCGCTCTGAGGTCCCTGTGCACGTTGTGGCTTTAAACCCATGTGACCTCGTACCTCTTAAACTGCAATCACGGATTGTGTCGGAGTGGGTGCAGGCACTCTGCACCCTGCAGGGTTATCACAGTGACACGCCTGTCACCCAGGAGCACCAGGTCTGGGCGTACGGTGGTCTTCGCACCAGGCAGCCCGCTCTGCCTCCTGTGCTGCACACACACACACACACGCACGCACACACACACACAAACACACACACACACACACACACACACACACACACACACAGAACAGAAGCAGATAGCTGACAATTGGAGTTAAAGGCTTGTGAACTTAAGTCAGAGTGCAGGAGTCAACACCGTGCAGCCATGCTTACCTGGCAGCGTCTAAAGGCTGCTTTACTGTGGACTCAACACAACCCGACAGTGTGCTCTTACTATTGTATTCCAAACAATTCAATTCAAACAGTAATTCTGTTTGATTTTTACAGCATCCTCAGTATCTCCTGTTTTATACCTCCTGTGTAAATTCAGTTTGACGTGCTCAAACACTGACATCATTTGAAAAAGGTTTTTATCAGAAAGAATCAAATGTCCTCCCTGTGTATTTATGGAGATTTTTTTCACCGTGGTACAAACATCACCACTTCTGGCTCAAAGCTCTCGATGAAAAATGTGTTGGTGTGTTTTCCAAACCCACTTCCTCGGAAAATACATTTGAGAGATCTTGTACTGTGCAAAATATCTCAGAGCGACACCTCTGATAACATATCTTTCCCTCTTTGGGTATGACTGCACCAAATCCACTTGAACTAATGTGAATGAAAGGATACATGAAGAGTTGGGAGTGATGGTTTATATCCCTCATCAAAGGAGTAAAGTACTGCTACTACTTTTTTAAGAAAAGCAATGTGTATTTCAGGCACATTTCTGTGGTACCGGAGATTTGTTCAACGGGATAAAAGTCACTCTGCATCTCTGAGAAAGAAAAATTCTCAGCTCTTCCACAAAGATTGGATGAGATCTCTATCTGTAACAACAGCAGAGTGTTTTCCCTGTCAGTATGTGACACCGCAAAGCACATAATTCATCTGCAAAACAACTGCATTCATCAAAACACATTGATTAGTGAGACAGTCCCTAAGGTGGCATAGGCGACAGCTTTACTTGTCTCAATTAAGCATCCCAAAATAGTTGAGATATCTTTGAATCAAATGTGATGCCATTTTTGTTATGTATAACGGCATTATGTATTCTGCGGCACACGAAAGTTAAGTCTCCCAATATTGGACATTTTGTTCTTGGTGGTAAATATTTTAAAAAGATAGTTGTTAGAAATAAGTGGGTTACATCAAATTTAGAAGTTGACAGTGTAAATATATACATTTAAAATCAAATTCAAATGAATGTTAGAGTGTGTCTTGCTTTCATGGTGCGATGTTTTTCTAAAATGTATGTAACTGCTCCAGAGATCAGGATGAGTCATCAGAAATATTCTATCTTTTACAGAAAGAGAAAATAAGAATTTCCATGAGAAAAAACCCTCACATTTTTTTTTTTTTTTTAATATTTATTGAAATGTACGAAGACATCCATGAACAGGGACAGATGATTGGAACTTACAACATTTATTTTGACTTTAACAAGTGCCATGCACAGTACAGATGATATATATGACTTTTATTTTCTATTTTTTACTTTAATTTAAGTTTTAAGTTATTTAACATAAGATGAGATAAGATATACTTTATTGATCCCAAACTGGGAAATGTTAAAATTGTTGCAGCAGCATGTAAAACCAAGTATTGCACATTATAAAATAAAAAAAGAGTAGAAAATAAACATTTATACAATATAAACATCTGATTTGATTTGATTTGATTAAAATATAAGATAAAACGGAACCAAAAAAGGTGAAAATACAAAATTGAACGTGAAGATAAAAACTTGAAAACTGAAGGGCCACATAACAGCTAACACATTATGAAAGTAGGATATTATTTACATTTGAATTAATCAAAAGCAATGACCTTTCATTATAAGAAACATTATATTCCACAAAACTGTTAAAAATGCCAGACTTTTTTCCATTTGACAATAATGTATGATCATTTTTGGTCCTATAAAACACACAGAGAACCACCCATCTGTGATGATATAACCAACAATGCTGTATGTTGCTGTGTGTGCAGTCTCTCCTGGTGGCCCAGCAGCTGGCCAATGCAGTGGGCGGCGTGATGTCCGGGGCGGCACAGGGCATGAACCAGCCCATCCTCATCCCCTTCAACGCAGGCGGACACCTGGGGGGGCAGCAGGGCCTCGTCCTCTCTCTGCCCACCGCCAACCTCCAGAGCCTGGTGGCTGCTGCTGCTGCGGGGGGGCTCATGACGCTCCCGCTCCAGAACCTGCAAGGTAAGAAAGAGGGCAGAGTAGACATCCGTCCGACTAAACAGGATCAACGTGATGTCCCAGCACGAAAGGAGAAACTAATGCAGGCACTCTAGGAAGCTGATGGATGTTCTAAAAAATCCACTCTCTGATGCTCATGAAGGTTTTTCTGTATTACACACCATGATTCATAAAACATGAGACACCAGGAACTATTACTCATAAATACACCACGTATTGATCCCAGCTAGAGATGTTCTACGTCCATGTAGGGCACAGAACTGTTTTTTTCTGTTATGAAAAGGCTTTACAAAGCCCTTGGTCAGGTAAGAATCCTTAAGGGGTTTGTATCCCAAATAGCGGCTATCCTCAACTTGCCCAGAGGAACAGCCATATTAATTACAGGTCAGCGTTTTGCAGTGCAGCGCAAAAGCACTTTGTGCCTCTTTCCTGTGCATAAGAGTGCACTGTACTTTACTTTTTTATCTCTTTTCCACCTCATCTGTCCATCCACATGGCTGTACTTATCCGTGCCTTTTAAACTTTAATGCCCAAGTGTTCTCTTTTGATCATAGTTGTAAATGGTTTTCATTTTAATGTTTAAAACATTGTCTCTTTTATACCATTAGATTGAGGGATGGATGGGGAAACCATCAGTCATAAATCTTGGATGAGATAGCTGCACTAATGTAAAAAGATGCCAGGCTACATGTAAAGTAGTGTGTTTTTAGGATGGAGATTACAATAATGCCAGTGCAGCACAAAGTGCAGGGAAAGCTTCCCTCATGTGGGGAAATGGATGGACAGATGCCCTGAGTGAGGAAATGTGGAAGTAGAAGCCTAATGGACACAAACATGCATAAATAACAGCAGCCATCGCTGTGGGCAGAGCTTTTAATAAACCCGCATCTATCCAGCGAGCCCTTCAATGTATCCATCAGTAGTGGACGATAATGGGCCCAGCAGGCCCGTCTGACTCACACTTCAACAGATCTTCGTCCTGGTGCGTGAGGAACAACCCAAAGGCTGCAGTGATCTGATGAACTGATCGACAAACTCATTGTCGGGGTGTCAGAATGGCAAAACAAACAGCCCTCAGTCATACTTATTGTCCACAAACAAACCAACAGACACTCTGGAATCCAATGTCCTGATAAAATTCGCCATCCATGAGAGATAGTGAAAAAAATAGTTGTGGAGAAATGCCTCTGTGGCAGATCTTTTTTTAAGCATGACAGACTGCCTGTTCGCACGTCCTCTTATCTAAAGGGGATGCATTGAAGGGACCTCCATGGAGAGAAAGTGACACAAGTCACGAGTGAAGCTAAATGTCTTGACTGTGTCCGGGCCCCTCTGGCCACGCGGCGCTCCTCCACTCTCCGCTGTCTGACTTCATCACAGCTCCGCTGAATGAGGCCTGCTGGCACAGCACCTCTGTCAGACAACTGCAACTCTGGCCTCTGCCCCCGCACCCCCCCTCCCCTCTGGGGCTCCAGGCCTGATTAATCACACATATAATACAGCGGTGCAGTGTCGCCGGGGAGCAGTCAGCTCGCTTCACGACCTCAGGAGCAAGTGTGTTTTACAGCACACACGCTGCTAGCTAATTAGTGTCAGATCAGACACAAGACAACTGTGAGGCAAAGTAATGAGACTGCAAGCAGCCCAGCCAATGACTCTATTTAAATGTAATGAGGCGGCTAATGACCCGCTAATAAGGCTGTTTATCTTGGGGAATGGGATACTGAGGATGGAGGAAATGTATTCTTTACATTACAGCCGGCATAGCTATAAACTCAGTCTTTGTAACAATGCAATGTTTAATATTTTACATCAGATATACATTTGGGTTTTTCTGTCCAGATGGTTCTTGCATTTCATAACTAATCATATTCAGTTTTAATGAGGAAAAATAAATAAAAAGATCAAATCAGAACAAACAGTAACAAAAGCGTCTTTGATCCCGTTTTGATCAGACTAATCAAAGCAGGAGTGAATGTTGATAGAAGGAAGCGGCTGTGAGCTTTAGGAAGGCAGCTCTCTCAGACTGTGATAAATAACTATCACTGTAATGGGGTTGTGCTATACATTTGGAGTGGTTGCTTAAACAACACTGAGCAGCATCTTGTGGCAGACTCAGTAAACACGGGCACCAGTGTAACTGGTTATTTGTCAGAATGATTTATGCCTGCAAACATGCAGTAAAAACAAATTCCCAATGAAACTAAACAAGGGGGAAAGTTATCTTTTGTGACAGAGTGCACACAATTCTAGCTGACTTCACAGAGGCAACAACTAGGTTGGGTCATGCTTGAGGTCTGTAAATGTGACGGCTCATGTGAATACAAAATAATACGTGATTTTCACAATTTTTATACAACTATAGAGTAAGTATGTACTACTGAAGCAGACACAACATCTACAGATTGTTTTGTTGTTAGATATGATGCTAACTTGATGCATTTTTAATAGGTTTTCATTTCACATGATTTTATAACAAGCAAAGCATGATTACCATACTTGTAAGCTACTTGTATCAAAGCACTGTACATGTAATGCCCAATGGGAGGAAGCAGAACAAAGTCTCATCTGTCGACTCTTCTCTAAGACTCACTCAAAGGTAATGCAAGAAGCTAGTTTACTAGAGCTCCTTCATATTAATAAGCATATCCCATCTTATTTGCTCTCAGCTGAAAGCCAGGCAGCGCTGCACATCAGAGAGCCGAGTTCTAATGGTGAGGTGAGAGCATTGTTCCTCTGTACTCGTCCGCAGGAAACACAAAACAGCACTCAGGCTTCCTTCTAAAGGTCGGCATCCCACTCACCTGCAGTAATGAGACCCGGTGTCAGTGCCAATCAAAGGCATGTCTGTCGTTTTGATGAAAACGCTCAGCGGTGTCGTTCGTAGGGGTGCGGGTGTTGGTACGGTACAAATTAGGGAAATCACTATGCTCATTACACCACCAAAGGGTGGGCTCCTGGGGGAAGAGCCAAATGTTTCCACACTAGTAAGACATGTCAGACTGCATCTCTTCTGCCTCAGCTGACTGCTGCTCCTTTAAGAGGTGAGATCACCGGGCTGGGCACTGACTTAACCTCTGTCTGCTGAGGGAATACCTCTGTGTCCCTTTACCCATTACATTATCCAAGCTTGAGAGTTACAACCATCCTTTTTTTAGGCTTGTTATGGCCACACTGGTTGCTCATTGTGAGCTTCTTTGCCCTCATGTGTGTATTTGTTGAATCATTTTTGGATAAGGAACATAAATAAGCCATTGTTTGTGTGCACAATGAGCCTTCAGAGATGGCATTAAGAGGACCCAGTGCAAGCGGTCCACATTTCCACACATCAACATCTGCCATTTTAACACAATAGAGGCCAAACCCATCCCTTCTCCCTTATCGCTGTTTAATTTGAAGTGTTTCTCAAGCACTATGTATTCCACGTCGTCCTTTAATGATTTAACTTTGCCGTGGTTGTAAGATGACTCGCAGGGGAGAGAGCTGCATTAAATAAATAACAGTGATAAAATGTAGAACTCATACATTTCAAAGCTAATGCAACTAGCGGTGCAATAGGAGCAGCTGCACACAGTCCTGGAGCGGTAATTTGATTGATTTGTTGTGACAGCAGCCAAATAATTGAGAGTGAGAGGTGCTGCCGGAGATGAAGCGCAGTGCGAGGCAGCTTCGCCAGGCAGTCCCAGCTGATATGGCACCCGGGTTCTCATCTCTGCCATTGATATCTGCCACTGGTTTATTGTTTGTATTCAATAAGCAGCTTGCAAATGTGTGGGGTTACTGCCTTTGTGACACTTTGGTGCGGGAAAAAAAATATCACCAATCAAAATGTACAGAGGAGCGATGAGAAGATTAAAATCAAACGCACAAATTCACACTGGGGCTGAATCACAGGTTTACTGTACCTGCACATAGGAACACACACACACACACACACACACACACACACACACACACACACACACACACACACACACACACTCCCACGAGACTCATGATTCATACTGTGATGTTCTCTTGAAGCTAAGATGTGAGCAAATTTTACCCCCTGGTGTTTCACTTGTTGCAGACATGCTAATGATTTGTTCTGAATTCAAGTTACATATATTTCATAATTGCACAAAAATAACAGAACAACTGACGCACAGTGTATTTGAATATAGAGTGATATTGTTTTATGTATGTATCCCTAGATATTTTTATATTTTACATCACAGTATAGTTCCTTTTGTCTTAACCTTCTGGCTCCTGACTCGTGTTTGGTTTCTGTGGATGGTGGCAGTGTCACTCTGGCTCAGCCATACCACAGGACAGCACAGCCACAGCCTGAAATAGAAGGGGGGGGGGGGGGGGGGGGGGGTGGAATCTTTATGGCCGTGTGGAGGAGGACAATAATATTGTTAATCAGATGTGGCTGTGTCTGCTCCTCCACAGCAAACCCTGACATCTGCCCTCACTGGTAAACACTGAAGGAGGCTTTTTGCAAACCTCCTGCCATAAACACACACTCTACAAGCCAGTGTCACACTGTCCGCACTGTGGATGCACACAGTGTAGTGCATTTATTCAAATGAATTTTGTAGTAGAAATGACGTTTTTTGAATTTGTGGTTTTGATGCCACATTGACACATGACCCATTTTCAAACAACTTCCAATACCATTAATAATTAGGAACATGCGAATAAGTCAATTTTAATCAAGCTTCCTTTATTTTCCTTAGCTTCTGAGATACAACAGAAAACCCTCTTAAGATGTAAATATGTTTTTAATTGTAAAACAGTGTGTTCCATTCTTCCAAATTCACAGTTTGAAAAATATCACAAATGGTGCCATAATTCAAACCTCAGTAAAATTAACTCTTTTGTTTTTCTCTTACTTATTCTGGTATCCTTAATAAATAATCAGCATTTAAGTTTGTTGCATGGATGGATTAGACGTCCTAAGCAATTATGCCCAATCAATAGTGTTCATCTTTTAATCATAATAGTAATCAGACTTTTGT